GCTATCCCCTCTCCCACTCTGGTTTGGCCTAGAGCCAAAGACGCCTGCCTCTAGCCATTCCACCACTCCAACTAGCCAAGAGGAACTCCCAATCCAGAATCCCATCTGACTCACCTCTCAGCTGCCTCCTCACCCACTTGGCCCCACTCAGTTTGGCTCCTGACTAATTCAACTTTCCACTCAGTCATGGCCCTTCTATGACTTGGACAATGGCCACCTAACGGCACCTTTGATCCCAATATTTTGTGAGCCCTCGGGAAAATGGAAGGAAATCCCTTATATGCCGGCTTTCTCCTTTCTCCACTCTAAGCCTTCCCTTTGTTCCTCTTGCTCCCCCGGCCCAGCTTCTAGTTGCCACAAAAGCTCTGGATTCCTCCAGAGACCTTACTTCTAGACAAACAAGGGACCCAGAACCGTCCTCCCTTCTTCTGTTGGCATAGTACATTGTAAAGCCCTAGGCAGCAAGCTTCCTGGCCAAGGTCACACTGAGCTAACATTGAAATACAAAGGACAGACTCAGCAGGCTTGATAAGAGGCCTAAGACAAAAAAAAAGTGCCAATTTAACTTTTCTATTGGCTAAAACACAAAAGAATGACTTCAAAACTTTCCTCTCTCTCCATCTCCCTGATCTCACACACCCATTTCACCTTTATATGGCTGAAAAGCAGGGATTTGCTCTAGGGGTCCTCAGACACATGCTTGGACACACAACCTTTGCCCCTGTAGCTTATCTATGGAAGGGTCTTGACCCTACTGTTCGGGGATGGGCCTCTTGCCTATGAATGTTGGCCAAAGCCTCTCTACTCATCAACAAGTCAAACTCATCTCTGGGGCCCCCTCACCATCCTGGCCTCCCATCACCTAAAGGAACTCCTCACCTACAAGGGCTGACCTTCCCTATCCCCCTGTTGCCTTTTATCTCTACAGGTTTCCCTGGTGGAAGATCCCACTCTTACTTTCCACACGTGCTCACTTTTAAACCCTGCTACTCTCCTCTCCACTCCTCAGGACTCTTCCACCTCTTCTCTTACCCATTCATGCACTCAAACTCTGGAGGAGCATCTTCCACATCCCTCCCACACACAAGGGGAAGGCCCCTTGCTCCAGGCAACATTACACATAGTTCCTTCAGAAGGGAGTTCGTCGGGCAGTTGATACCCACAGACCCTCTCAAGCTGCGTTTCTCCAAGGCCGGAACCCCCAGTCTTCCTTCAGTCTCTGAGGACCACAAGGACACTGCAGAACCATGAGCACCATCCTTCCCTTTTTCATTTTTGCCCTCCTCCCTCATCCTGCACTCACCCCCCAGGGGGTACTATTACCAGGAATTATCACTCCAATTTCAAGGAGTCTTCTCCCATGGGCACTTCCTTTCCTGACCCCTCTCTTTGTCATAGGCCTTCTGTTAATGCTTGCCCCCTGTGTCATTAGACTTGTTCAAGACCAGATCCAAAAAAATCTCTAACCAAACTATAAACCAGCTTTTCTTACAGGAATACAAAGCCCTAATCAAACATTGGGTTGCCTGGGACAGCATTCCACCACGAATCAACCTCTGCCATCATTCCAATGATGTCTTGCACCCCTAATGAGGGATTCGAAAGCTGCCCCTTCTCAGCAGGAAGCAGTTATAGAAGAATGACCTACATCCCTCTTCCCTAAGGGGCCCAGTAAAAAAACAAAAAGGGGGAATATAAGGTCCTTGCTTAGCATCTGGATGGCTATCTTAAGTGACAGCCTCCATTTTAAGAAAAAGAATTTTTGCTTTCCCACCCAAGAGCCTTTCTGACAAAGGCTCACCACTCCCTCACACCAACCCAACCCTCAACCACCCACATTAGGACCCGCTCGGCTCTGGTTCCTGAGCCTCCCCCATAAAAATCCCAGAACCCAAGCCTGTTTTGCTATAGAGAGATGGCCTTTATTTGTCAGCTCTGACAAATAAACTCTTGTGTATATCTCTGTCTGGTCTCCGTCTTTTTTTTCTCGCTTACCCATCTCTCATTTCTTTCTTTCCCTTCAATAATGTTTTCACATACCATGTTATATTTGATTAAAAAAAATAAGAAAGGCAGCAAACTGGTGAGTTAACAGTTAACTGGAAAAGGTATTGCTTTGAAAGCAATCCAATTTATTCTACTTCTACGTATCATACTTACCACCTGATTCTAAATTCAAAGACATTCTGTTTGCCATCAGGAAATTACAACTACATTTACGTGTGTCCCTAGGGAAAATGCATGCAGAGAATAGCCACATCTTTATATATGCAAGGCCAATATCCAGAACAAAAAAAAAAAAAACCTTACAATTCTGTAGTGGTTTTTGAATATTTTATATTTATATAATTGCACATGTCAAAATTATTAAATTTGTTTTCATGCAAAAAAAAAATTCTAGAATCCCACATGAAAGTAATATTTAGGAGCAGAACACAAGATTCCCAAAGAACAAGAAAAACTGTTCATTATAGAAAAAGAAATTACAATGACATTAGCTGTGAGTAAGATAGAGCAATGCATCTCAAATTATTTGTGCAGGACCATTTGGAGGTATTTGTTTGTTGGTGTCAATTCATTGCATACCAATAATTCCTAAACTAAGAATATTTCTAGAAAAATTAAGTTATAATGAATTGTAAAACACATTTTTAAATTACTAGACTCAAACTACATAAAAATCACTCTAAAATTTTGGTACAAGTTCCCAAACACTTAGGCTCAATTCTATATTTAGTCCATGGAAGACGAGAACATCAACCCACACTTGTCCAAGGACCATATTTTGAGTACTCCAGAGATAAAGCACCTACACATGGAGATGTTCCAGAAGCATAGTACACATTATTCTCTGGTTCAAACTTTTTTTTTATAATATTGACTTTTATTGAAGTAATAATTACATATAATTTTAAAAGTTAACCTAGAGTGCATGGTTTTTAAAAAAAAAAACAAGTATCCCCTGTACTTTTCTTTTAACCCCCAATTCCTCTTTCCTTTCCTTCTATGTTTCTGAATATTAAGCATATAATTCTACTCAAGTGACAAGGCACAAACAATAATACCCATCATGCATTTTAAGAAACAAAGCACTAAATCCATAGAGTGAATCAGAAATAACTTTCCCATGTTCATATACGAATACATGACCAGTGTAACTCAACATCATGCACAAAAACAAAAATTAGGAAGTTATTCTCCATATATGTATGATATGTTAAAATACATTACACTGTCATGCATAACTAAAAAGGACAAATAAAAATTTTTTAAATAATAATTCTTCCTGAAACTGTCACATGGAACTGCAAATCTCTTCTCAATACAATTCTATATTAGACAATTGATCAGATGCATTTTGCCATAGAGAAATCTCTTGTATTCTTTGTGTGTGTGTGTGTCGGAGAGGGTACCGGGGATTAAACTCAGGAGCACTAGACCACTGAATCATATCCCAAGCCCTATTTTGTGTTTCATTTACAGACAGGGTCTCATTGAGTTGCTAAGCTCCCCAATTTTGCTGAGGTTGACTTTGAACTCGAAATACTCTTGCCTCAGCCTCCCTGAGCCACTGGGATTACAGGCATGCTGCCACTGTACCCGACCCTTGTGTTCTCTTGTTCTCTTGTTCCAGATGAATCGATTTGTTGTGCTCTGTGCCTGCTTCCAACAGTTTGGGAGGGACTCCCCCACTGATATTCTTTATATTCCTTTTGTCTCTTTCCTATATGGAAATCTCTGTATCCTAATTTCCATAATTTCCTTTTTCTTGACTTACTAGCTCCTCTTATCACATTTTGAGAGATAGTGCAGGTAGGTAAAACCTTTGAGGTCTAACTTATCTAGGTGTGTCTTAATTCTGCTTTTTCATTTGCTAGATTTGCTGGATGGGTCTAGATAGTAATCCAGTTCCTTCAGAATCTTAGAATATCTGTTGTCTTCTACTTCCAGTCTTGCCATGGAGAATATCAACACAATTGTAATTCTAGTTTTTTGTACATGAGTTATTTCTCCTCTGACTCTGGGACTGCAAATACGCACCATCACAACCAGAGCTCTGAAAAGTCTTTAAAATGTGCATTGGTGTAGATTGTTCAGTCCTTCCTGCATTGTACTACTCTGAGGTCTTTTTAATTTGGAGTCTCACATCTTCAACTCAGGGAGACTTTCTTATACCATTTCTGTGTGTGTGTGTGTGTGTGTGTGTGTGTGTGTGTGTGTGTGTGTGAAAGATTTAGCATATAAGAAGTAAGATAAGTTATGAAACATAATAGCAAATCAAATGTCTATGACCTACCACCCAGCTCAGGAAGTAGAATATTGCCAGTACCCCAAACATTCTGACTGCGCCTCTCCCTATTCCCTGTCCTTGCCTCTGCCTGCCATGCCTCACTCCCCACTAGCCACACAACTAGTCTCATTTGCTTTTCTTTATTTCACTTAATCTATATGTGTTGCTAAACTATGCCTTGTTTATTATATTTGCTTGCTTTTGCTTTTTGATATCATTGTTTGATGATTTTTGTTTATTTTGTTTTGTGATACTGGGAAATCAAACCCAGAAGCCCTCTACCACTAGGCTTTGTTCCCAGACCAGCCCCTCTCCATTTTTTTTTTTTCCAGACAGGGCCTTGAAAAATTGAGGCTAGCTGCAAACTTGAGATCCTCCTGCCTCAGGCTTCCAAGTCACTGGAATGACAGTCATGCGTCATCACACCCAGCTGTGTTTGCTTGCTTTTGAACACAGAAATGGCATCATTCAGAAATGGCAGTCTTCTGTAGCTTGCCGTTCATTCAGTGTTGTTCCTGAGAGTTGTCTACTCATGCAGCTATAGTTTATTACTTTTTCAATGTGGTGTCACCTTCTATTATATGAAGATTCCACAACCTATCTGTTCTCCCAACTATAGGCATCGGGTTATTTCCTTTTTTATTATTCTATGATGTGTCTTAGTGTGATCATTTCTTTCCCTCACTTTCTGTCTTCTCTCTAGAACTCATATGAGTGAGTTATTGGATCTTCTGGGATAACCCTTGAATTTTTCTTGCCTCTTTTCTCCTATTATTTGCATCTTTTTTTTTTCTTCTACTATGTCAGAGAATTACTGAACCTATACTATAATTTATCAGTTAAGTTTTTTATGTTATCATATTTTGAATATTCAAGAACTCTAGTTCCTTTATATATACCCTTTATATATTTTTGAAATTTTATTGTTAGATTCCTTTTTATAGGTTACTCTTGTGTTTTCATAAACACAAGACATATGAGGTTTAGGATTTTCCTTAAAATTTTCTTTTACTTTCTGCAATATGATTCCCCCTCTTCTGTCTGGTTGGGTGGGTGGATGATTCAAATCTCTGTCTTTTGTGTGAGTTGCTCTCCTCTGATGTCAGGTGATGCTACCCCACCTACTGAGACTTAAAGATACCACAACACTGATCTAAAGTTCTGTGTGCGTGGATGGGGCCTCTGTGCCCTGAGATTGATGGAGGGAAGGTGTTGGGGGACCCAGCTATTTCATTGGGGAGACATTGCGCTGGGGAGATACCAATGTTAGTTAGTAGGTCTTTTCTCTTGGCCTAGTCAGTTTTCCCAGAGAGGCAACTTTCTTCCTTTCTTTTTCCTAGAGGGTATAAAAGCTTGTCTTCCATCATTCCGGCCTCTGAGCAGGGGAAATGAGTTGGGAGCTTTGCCATTCACAGGGAGACTTTCACTTCATACCCATTTTCACTATAGTTCCCTGTTCTCAGCTGTACCTGGGAGCTCCAAATCCACAGCTCTTCATTTGAACATTCCCATCCTCTTCCATTGTGGGGAAAGGCAGTCTGGCTGTGTAGAATGGGGTTAGAGATCTGGGAGGCTCACTGCTCTTGAGATAACCAAAAGGTGTCTTCTACTTTCAACCCTACTCCAGACCCCAACCTTCAGGGGTACTCCACTAGGGGTCCTGCAGCAAGGAGTCTGTTTGCTTCTCTTTGATGTGTACTACCCACCTTTTTAGGTTTAAACTTCAATTTTCTCTGTTCTTCTGAGTCAGTTACCACTGACTTTCCAGGTTCCAAAATTTTCTTGACATCTATCATCCATTCCTATAACCTCACCAATTCTCTTTGTCCTTGTGCATTTAAGCTTTTTCTGTTGTAATCTTTTTACTGTCATTTGGAGGCTCTGGGAAGGAGGAGGGAATAAATGCATACATTTTCAATGTTGCTGCCTCACAACACAGAGATGTCAGAGGTGGACAAGTACCTGAGGGGAGACGCATCGGAAGCTGCAGGATGTCTGCAGGGCCTCTTGAATGTCTGCGGCGTCCTCCGGTTTTCAGAGGCCTCTGTATACTGGCTGGTTGCCTGACACTGTGGGCATTCAGTTATGTGGCAAGTCAGGAGGAATTCTCTCTCTGCATGTGTGTTCAGACCAGCAACCCGTTTGCAAATAGCAGCTGAGGAAGATACTGTTGAACTAGGAAGAGAGAATCAGACTGTTGGAACAATCAAAACTCTATTGGCAAAGCATTCATGACCAAAATCTGGATGAATCTCCTCCCCGCCCTTGTCCTCCCCCTTAACAGAGCTGACCCTGGGGCAGGAAGAAAAGGAGGCAATCTTGGGTGCTCTGGAGGAATAGGTCATGATCACAGAGTGCTCACAAGCAACCCCAGCTCAGGTTTGAGGACCTGATGTGGGCATGACTCCAGCCCTTGAGGTCAAGTTCCTAGCAGAGAAAACAGATTTCTCATCACCAGAGAACCCTCCAAAAGGCCAGGACCTGCTAAGGATCAGATAGGTACGAACAGGAGAGCTGTGTCTCAAACAGAATGGTAATTCAGCTTTTGCATGTAGCAAACAAAGGCAGATAGGGCAGTTCTGAAAGAAGACAGAGCAGCCACTGGCTGTGCAGCCAGGGCTCCATGACCTGAGGTAGAACGTTGTCCCAGATAGCCAGAGAAGCCCACACCTCCATCTACAAAAGGAGCTGAGCCATTGAAGATCCCCAGGGCTCAACATGAATGCTCACCTGTCTCTTCTGTCAGTGAGCACCCTGCAAGCTGCAGTCATCCTGAGAAGCCAAGTCATGCCTGAGAGGATCAGACAATGGGAGAAGGGCCTGGAAAAATAGCTCTCATCCTGGCGAATGAGCTGCTGCTGCCACATCCACAGGAATGCCTGCTTCTGCTCTTTTCAGAGTTCTGGAACTCATAGCAGTGTGCTCCCCACATTAGCTTTCTTGTGCCGTCTCTCCCAACATCCTGCACCTGCATCTCTTGGTATTGAGCCTGGGAAGCTAGGTCCCCCAGGGGCTGCTCTGCACAAATGGCTGACAAACTTGGGAGTCAATTACTCTAGCTCTCTTGCTCCCCACTGGGAGCAATTTTAAGGTATCTCCAGAGTTCCCATGAGGGACTGAACCAAAGCAATCTTCCTGTCACACCTCTGCTTGGTCTCCTTCCTGGTTCCCACTTACCCATACACCCTCCCACAAGTTTTCTCTGGGAACACTTCTTCAACGACTTTCACATGAATCCTCTTGTTAGAATCTGCTTCTGGAAACTCAGCCTAAGACAAGCTCCTCTTTCAGAGTCCTTGCTGGTTCGTTGTGACTGAAGAATTGAAAGCTTGGGTAGCCCTTGGTTTCTCAGGCACATTAAAGATGCTGCTGCTATGACTAAGGCAGACTCTGAGATAAGGGAACAGTGAAACTTGCATTGCTTCTTCAAATGAGAGGCAGAGAATAGGGCTTCTGAAGGGAAACCGGAGTGGTTGGTGGAACAAGGAGGGAGCTAGGAGTTTGAGAAGGAGCTGAGCAGCATGGCCTTCAGTAAAGACTGTTGCTCACACCAGCTGTATGGGTAGGAGATTGGGGGCAATGGGAATCCAGTGGACAGCTGCTGGGGAAACTGCACTGCAGAGCAGAAGAGCACTCAGGCCGTGGAACTCTGAGCCAGAGAAGACTAAGGGCGATTTCATCCCCATGATCATGGATGAATGCTCACATACACACACACACACACACACACACACACACACACACACACACACACACCACATGAATCCACTGAGAGATGGCAAGGGATTTAACACCTCCCCTGAGCTCTGGATTAAGCATGAAATGATAAGCTTGAAATAATTATCAAAGGAGACCGTCTACTCTAAAATCACCTCAAGAAAATATTCAAAGGCATCTGTAGCACCGGAACAATATTTCCTAACAATTATCTATAAATTGAGGCAAACACAAAACTTCTTAGAAGCTGGGATGGGGAGCATTGTTATACTTAAAAAATACAAGCTAAGGTGACAGTCCAAAGCCACTATGAGGTGGGGCAGCCAGGGCAGCCCTGGAACTCTCCACCCCTTGACCCTGACCACCCAAGGGCTCACCGCCTGTGATAGTCCCATCCTGCCCACCCTCTCCTCAGCTCTGATGCCAGCTCTACTTCCTGTGTGCCCAGGGTCCCAACAGTGGGCACCCCAGGGCACGTGGGCCCTAATGCAGGCAGGGAGCTGGGAGCTCGCCTCTGAGTCCACTCCTGCCTCTGCACCCCCACCCCATCTCCTTCCCTGTTGGTTTCTGTGACTTAACCCGGTTCCACTCCTGCCTCTTTCCTCCTCTCCGGCTCTCTTCCTTTCTCACCACTTCCCCCTCCCTCTCTGTGTCCCTTCTCCCAGTCCTGGCCTCTTTGAATCAAACTGGCTTATGTCTTTGACAAAAGATGACACAGCAAATCTGGCAGTCCCCACAGTAACTGACGCATCATAATGCAGTTTGTCCTAACAGGCCTCTTCTTCTCTATTATAAATAACCATGTAGGGCTTTAGATCTGTATCTGCATCTCAAATAATTCCTTCAGGCTGCTGTAGTCTCTAGATATAGCATTTTTAGGTCAGAAGGGTACAGGCTTGTGCTGTATTTGGGGAAATCATTTTTACAGCAGTGTTTTACACATCACTGGACTTCAAGTTCATACATACCAAGCTCAGATTGAAAATGAGGTCACATGTGTCTTCCCAGAGCCCCTAAAGACATTCACAATCTGGAATATTTCTGCAGGTTGCTTGTTTGTTGAAGACATGCCTATTCCCCTCTTTACTCCCTTAAATATGTATTCTTCTATTGATTTTCTCATCAAAACATATCTACACTGAGCTGTGCCAAGTGCTAGTAATGGTTCTGTTGATTTAGAGCCTTGCCAAAATCATGGGTGACTCCCTCCTTTAATACTTTCAGTTTTAATATGGAAATTTTCAAGTACCACAAGACTGTGATCAAAGATCATTCTGCCACCCATTTAGTCCCTGCCAGACAATAGTAAATGATATCCAACTCTCCCCTGCCCTGCCTTCAATCTCTGTTGGGTGAAATCTCTTCTTGTTTCAAATATCTACATTGTTTCAGATGGCCTATGATTTTTAGTCACTGCTTCAAAAAAGGCAGGCATTAAGAGCCACTTTATTTCCTTCTCTAGGGCAGAATTCATGGACCATGGAGCCCTCCATCCATATTCTTTTTTTTTTTAATTTAAAATTTTTTTAATTAGTTATGCATGACAGAAGATTGCATGTATGCACTTTGATATATCATACATAGATGGGATATAATTTCTCATTTTTCTGAGTGTACATGTTGAGTGTACATGTTACAGAATCATATTGGTCATGTAGTCACATATATACATAAAGTAATAAGGTATGTTTCATTCTACTATCTTTCCTATTCCCACATCCCCTCCCCTTCCTGCCCATCACTTCCCTCTACCTAATCTAAGGTAATGCTATTCTTTCCTTCTGCCCGCCGCCTTATTGTGAATTAGCATCCACATATTAGAGAAAACATTAGGCACTTGGTTTTGTGGAATTGGCTTATTTCCCTTAGCATGATATTCTCCAACTCCAATCATTACTGGCAAATGCCATAATTTTACTCTTCTTTAAAGCTGAGTAATATTCCATTGAATATGTATACCACATTTTCTTTATCCATTCGTCTATTGAGGGACACCTAGGTTGGTTCCATAGTAGAGCTATTGTGAATTGAGCTGCTATAAACATTGATGTGGCTGCATCACTATAGTATGCTGATTTTAAGTCCTTTGGGTATAAATAAAGGAGTAGGATAACTGAGTCACGTGGTGTTTTATTCCCAATTTTTTGAGGAATCTCCATACTGCTTTCCATACTGGTTATACTAATTTTCAATCCCACCAGCAATGTTTGAGTGTGCCTTTTTCCCCACGTCCTCGCCAACATTTATTGTTGCTTGTATTCTTGATGATTGCCATTTGACAGGAGTGAGATGAATTTGCATTTCTCTAATTGCTAGAGATGCTGAACACATTTTGATATATTTGTTGATCAATTGTATTTTTTCATCAGTGAAGTGTCTGTTCAGTTCCTTAGCCCATTTATTGATTGGGTTATTTGTTTTCTTGGTGTTAAGTTTTTTGAGTTCTTCACATATCCTAGAGATTAATGCATTATTGGAGGTGAGTGTGGTGAAGATTTTTCCCAATCTGTAGGCTCTCTCCTCGCTTTATTGTTTTTTTTGCTGAGAAAAAGCTTTTTTAATTTGAATTCATCCCATTTATTAATTCTTCATTTTACTTCTTAAGCTTTAGGAGTCTTGTTAAAGAAGTCAGACCCTAGGCCAACATGGTGAAGATTTGGGCCTATTTTTCTTCTATTAAGCACAGGGTCTCTGTTCTTCTGCCTAAGTCTTTGATCCACTTTGAGTTGCTTTTTGTTCAGAGTGAGAGTTAGAGGTTTAATTTCATTTTGCTACATATGGATTTTCATTTTTGCCAGCACCATTTATTGAATAGACTATCTTTTCTCAGTGAATGTGTTTGCACTGTTGTCTAGTATGACATAACCATATTTATGTGGGTTTGTCTCTGTGTCCTCTATTCTGTACCATTGGTCTAGGCTTACATGGGGCTTCCTTGGTGTATTTTGGTGCCAATACCAGGCCATTTTTATTACTATAGCTCTATAGTACAGTTTAAGTTCTGGTATTGTGATGCCTCCTGCTTCACTTTTATTGCTAAGGATTGCTTTAGTTATTCTGGGTCTCTTATTTCTCCAAATAAATTTCATGATTGCCTTTTCTATTTCTATGAGGAGTGTCATTGGGATTTTAATAGGAATTGCATTAAATCTGTATAACACTTTTTGTAGTATGGTCATTCCACCATATTCTTTTTTAAAAAAAATATTTATTTTTTAGTTGTAGTTGGACACAACACCTTTATTTTATTTATTTTTATGTGGTGCTGAAGATCAAACCCAGAGCCTCGCACATGCTAGGTGAGCGCTCTACTGCTGAGTAGCAACCTCAGCCCCTCCACCCATATTCTTTTATCTCACTTTTGATAGATTCAATGGGCTGATCTCTCTCTATTATCCAGTATTAACTTGATAACACCAAGTATTATATTTCCTATTTGTTGCCATATATGTTCACAGATCTTTGTGTAGCTTTTCAATAATCACAGTGTTTTAGGTATAGGGTGAGTGTCAAGGGGTATTTTTAAGACCACAAGAGGAATTTAACTAACAGACTCCGTGAACGTTTAGGTGCACTTAGAATCTCACAATCTAATGTGGAATACAGACATGCCAATCAAATAATCACAATACAGTGTAACAAAGGCATTTCTGCAGTTATACTTTTGGGTATTTAGAAGAAGAATCCAGGGGTGAAAACTATAACACAACAAGTAAGAATAAGAGATCTTACTGACTGTGATGCTGTCAGCTACTGCAATATAACAAACACTGCACTAGTATCAGTTACAAACAATACATACTTGGAGATTTTGCACTCACATAACCATTCTGGGCATTGACACTGATATATTCTAGGCTTTGCACCTGTGTCTACCTAGTTATCAGGGGGGAAAAACAGGCATGTTAGAGACCAAACCCAATATGCAAGCACATTTTAAACCTCTGCTCACATCATGTGCACCAACATCCCTTGATTACATGGTAAAGTCTAAAGTCAAGGTACAAAGAAGATTCCTTCCACAGAGATGGAGTGAAAAGCAGAGGATGTTTGCTGAATAAAAATTTAATTCACTACAAGCTAGATCGCGAGGGACCAAGGGATGTTGTTCTAGAGAGAGAGGTAGGAAGAATTGGTGTTCTGTGGAGATACCCAAGGACACAGATCACACTTAGGAAGCTGTAGGTGATTCAAAGAGCAAAAGCCCGAGAGAATATATAAGAGGTTGAGTACATGTAGGAACCGATGCACGAGAGGGAGATGGGAGCCAATATTTACTGGAAGGAGGAGACCCAAAAGATCTGGGCAGATGGGAGCAATGTAAGAATCTTGCCTGTTCTTGATTTCCAGAGACTCCTGCCCTATCTCTTGGAGTCTCTATTATTTTGTAGAAGTAAAATAAATAATCCTCCCATCATTCCTCTGTGCTCTCTAGACAACCAATATTACCCTCTTTTGCCATCCAAGCATGTAAAAAAAAACACACTAACTCTCCTTTCCCTCATAATTTCCACTGACCAGCGTAGCATCTAGTAATCCTTATTTTATACACCCCAGGATGTGTAAACAAATGGAAATTCTCTTTTCAAAATTATTTTAATTTCTGATGAGTTTTAGTGATTGAAAGAATGGCACAAAATAGTAGATATGAAAGATCTACTGTCCATCCCCAGAAATTGCCACTCTTCACGCTTTGATATACAGTCTTCTATATCATTTGAAATAAAATCAAAACTAGAATCATATATTCTGTCATATTTAACTAGCTATTCAATACCAACTCAGAACATGACTTATCACCACCTTTTTAAAGACTTCTTAGTATTTCATTGTATGTCTGTGGCATTATTCCTTTTACCTGTCTCCCAAATTTCATCAAGAAACAGTATACTAAAGACAACCCTTTCAATATGTCTTTGCTTACTGATATTTTATAAGCATAGATTTCAAGAAGTAAACTTATTTGTTCAAAATATGCCCACATAAAATTTTTGTACACGTCAAATTTCCTGCAAAAATGGTTGTACCATATTTCATTCCCAACAGTGATGTTTGAAAGTCACTTTTCCTCACATTTTACAGCAATGAATATTTTACACATTGACAATATGGACAATTTTATCTCATTTTTATTATAATAGAACAATGACATTTTTATTTCTTCATAAGATTTTTTTGAACCATAATTCTCCCAGCAGAGCTATCTATATGTAAAAAGATAAAACGCAGATATTTTAGGAGCAAGAAATTATTAAAGATAGAAGGCAAAATGAATAAATTAGATAGTAAAATGTAAATAAGCTTAATAAATAAAAATAAAAGCTGGTTTTCTAAAATCAAAAAAGAAAAAATGGGAAACCTCCTGGCCACCAGGAAAGAGAGAGAGAGAGAGAGAGAGAGAGAGAGAGAGAGAGAGAGAGAGAGAAACACAAGTAATACAATACCAGCTGTCAGATATAGGTTCTATACTTCCACATATATACAAGAATTAAGTTATTGGGAAATTCAATGCT